ATTAACTTATCCGTTCTTTCATGCTTTTCTCTCTCTCTTTCTCTTACACTATTGCTTTTTCTCCCCTTTCTCTTTCCTACTCTCTTTTTCTCTTGTCTCTTTCTCTTCTCTTTCTGTCTCTCTTTAATCCGTTCGATACCCTGTATAACTCGGAGTCTCTCTAGAAAGAATGCATACATCGCAGTGTTCCTCGTTAATCGAATAACATCGGGCAACGTGAACGTATCAAGCCGTCGATAGATGTTGATCCGGATTATTAAATGTATTATAGTAATGTGATAAGAGACGAATGGACAAGGAAATAAACGATAGCGATCGATAATAAATATGTAATATGATTTTTCATTAACATTGACGAGAACGAGAACCATTTATAGGATTGAAAAATAATAATTTTATTTATATATGTATTTACTCTTCTCCCTCTTGTGATCGAGTGATGTATCTAATCTTTTACCTTCTGCGATATAGTGATCGTAATCGTGTTTCTTAGAGAGGGAGAAAGAGAGAGAGAGAGAGAGAGAGGTAAAATCTCGTAAAATCGTTTAGTATTTTCTTTCTCTGACGAATTATGGCATCATGTAATATCATCAAATAAACATCGTTATTAATGACACGCATCAGGCCGGTGATGTAATTTGCGTTTCTCTTGCGCATGCAATTAGAGCACAACATCGTTTAAAGGAAAGAGTGATTATAAGTATATTCCTATGGCACGCAATTCGCATTTCTATGTTTCTTCACCTGCATTATCTTACTTTTCTCTTTATTTCTCTTTCATCTCTCTCTCTCTCTCTCTTTCATCTCTCTTTCTCTCTCTCTCTCTTTCTCTCTCTCTCTCTTTTTCATCTCTCTTTCTCTCTCTCTCTCTTTTTCATCTCTCTCTCTCTCTCTTTCATCTCTCTCTCTCTCTCTCTCTTTCATCTCTCTCTCTCTCTTTCATTTCTCTCTCTCTCTCTCTCTCTCTCTTTCATCTCTCTCTCTCTCTCTCTTTTCCTGTCTCATTAATGACAAGAAGACATATTCGACGATCGATAAAAAAAATTTTAATGACCTTACGAGATGTTATCTCTATGTAAAACCAGATGTATTAGCTTTTAACGATTAATTTTATTACGTTTTATTGTAAAAAGTCAAATATATTGCGAAGTATTAATTGAACGAAATATACCGATACAGTTCGAATTATCAGTAATTTTTAATTCCACGTTGCGTCAGGATACACAAAGGATTGTAATGAAATTTATTAATCGTCATTATTAGATCTGTTTGATATTGTTGTTTTACACTTTTAGAACGATTGCTCTAATAATAATAATTAAACGAAAGCATAAGAATATCGCATAAAGACGAATTAAAATTATTAATTACAATATGTTAATGATTCGCGAGATTTGTATTTCATTAAATTTCTTTCGCATTCTTGATGCTCGATAAAAAGAAAGAGAGAGAGAAATAGAGAGAGATAGAGGGATATATAAGGAGAGAGAAATAGAGAGAGATAGTAAAAATGTTTGAAAATGTGAAAATCCTCAATCGTTCCACATAGGTTGTTCGAGTTAAGGATATAAAAGAGGTTTATCGGTGTTACGTAGAAATGTTTGATTTAAATCGCGTGTCACGATAGGTGAAATATAATAAAAGCTCCGAGAGAAGGACGATTCTTACCAACGCGATTTATGGATACGGAATAAGAGAAAAATCAATAATCGACGCGACGGCTCTCCGTATACGTATATGTATATCTAGATGCGAGCCAGCTGAACGATTTGCTAATGCCGTTGAAGGGTCTGTCGCCATCGAGTGAATTGGAACTTTCATTTTTCCAAGGACGAAAACTTTTACGGTAAGAAACGATCACAATCGACCGAGACCAATTGTCCTTTCTTTTCTATCCATCCGAAAATTTAGCTCGGAATACATTTCGCATTTTTTCTCTTTCGTTTTTCTTTCTTCCTCCAGTCACAATTTATATTAGGGAAAGAAGATAAAGATAAAGATAAAGAAGGAGAGAGAGAGAGAGAGAGAGAGAGAAAGAAAGAAAGAAAAACAAGATAGAATATATTATTGTATTACTCTTCCTTTTATCTTCATACATGAAGAAGAGTGGTTCGAAGCAATCGAAAAGGAAGAAATTAATTTCATGAGAAATTTAAGGAAAGTCTTGAAACCGTCCATTGTTATTGAGATCGACATTTTTCTTTGCTCTATTATTACCGAGGGGTAGACTTAAAAAAATTATCTCTAAAGGAAAATCATATTTCTCTCTTTCTCTCCCTCTTCTTCTCTCTCTCTCTCTCTCTCACTTCTTTTTTCTCTCTCTCTCTCACTTCTTTCTCTCTCTCTCTCTCTCACTTCTTCTTTCTCTCTCTCTTTCTCTCTTCTTTCTTTCTCTCTCTCTCTCTTCTTTCTTTCTCTCCCTCTCTCTCTCGCTCTCTCTCTTCTTTCTTTCTCTCCCTCTCTCTCTCGCTCTCTCTCTCTTCTTCTTTCTCTCTCTTTCTCTCGCTCTCTCTCTTCTTTTCTCTCTCTCTCTTCTTCTTTTTCTCTCTCTTCTTCTTTCTCTCTCTCTTTTTCTTTCTCTCTCTCTTTTTCTTTCTTTCTCTCTCTCTCTCTTCTTCTTTCTCTCTCTCTCTCTTCTTCTTTCTCTCTCTCTCTCTTCTTCTTTCTCTCTCTCTTCTTCTTTCTTTCTCTCTCTTTTTTCTTTCTCTCTCTCTTTTCTTTCTCTCTCTCTTTTCTTTTTCTCTCTCTCTCTTTTCTTCTTTCTCTCTCTATTTTTCTCTCTCTCTCTCTCTCTCTCTCTTTCTCTCTTTGAACAAAGCACAAAAGCGAAGAGGAGGAGTAGCTTTGAAGTTTCGTAATTAAAGGACAAAAGCGATGGTGGGAATACATTATCAGGAGTCGCCGTTGGCCCAATATCGCCACGTACCACTATCATAGGCGTAACAAAGAGGAAATAAACTATTGGACGATCGAATGTCAATATTATCGAGCTGGTCGGTGTTCTGAAGGAGGAGGGAGAGGAGGACGAGAAGGAAGAAGAGGAAGAAAAGAAGAAAGAGGGAAAGGAGAACACAGAGCGTGTAATAAATGAATAACAATGTAAAATCTTAATGATTGTTGAGCGAAATACTCCCTCGAACCATGTTTCCTTTATTCCTATCATCCAACGTGACATTTCGAGCGGTGTTTGAACCATGTCGGACGTAATAGAAAACTCGATGGACGGCTCGCTTTCCCAAGCGAGAGTTCGTGGAATTTTTGTCTTTTCCATGTGTATGTATATATATATATATATAAAAAAGAAAAAAACGCGGTTATATGGAACGAAAAGTTTTTTCCCGGGCACCTCCTTTCAGTGTTCCTCTTCCAACCACCTCTGAACCCACGCAACCCTCTACACACCCCCTTCCCCGCCCACAACTAACGGCCGATGCACGTCGATGTTGGTGAAGCGAAGCCGACTCGTAGTTTCTTTAGTTTCTTCAAAAAGAATGACGTGTTCCGTTGTTCCCCGTGTGTTCTATAGTGAGAGACCGACATTAACGTTAAAGTAACACACACGTAAACGCATCGGTGATGTACAAAGGGAAGGGGAATCCGCGGAGCCAACGACCACAAATTCGTCTCATATTAAATCACGCTTAACTCTTCTTTTCCCTGACACCTGCGAGTTATTTCACGGGAACGCTTTTTATCAAAGTCGCAATTCGATCGGAAGGAAATATCAAAGTGTTTGATGTAAGTAGAATTCGCTATACATGTCGAATTAATTATAGAATAATAAATCATTCAAGATAAAAAATAATAAAATTCTATTGTTATAAATTATATAACATATGTAATTAAACGAATATATGCATTATATTATCGTAAAAATATATCGAAGTAGGAAAATTAATTTAATGATTTGATTTGATGAAAGAGAGCAAAATGATTATAAACCTTCTAAAATAGCCTTTTGGATTTTCAGCGGATGGCAATAAAGAGGTGATATAAAATGAAGACATGGAAGTATTTGGATTTGAGAAGGAGGTACGAAAAAAGGAAAAAAAAAGGTGAAACGCGAGTGGTTGATTAATTTGAGCGCCTAACGCTCAACTCGGCGCCGGCGCGAGAAGACAAGACCAGGCCGTAGTGGCCCGCACCGTCCCAGCACTATTGGCACAAGTAACATTAACGTCTCTACCTTGGGGTTCTATTACCCTTATTGTTATACTTAGAGTTAGCGAACTATAGACTGCTGCCGCGACATCGACAACCGCGGGCCACGTGGCTCCAAGCGTGTGGCCACGCATGTATTCGAACAACTCCGACAGTCACTACTTGCCTCTCCAAATAGGGAGGTGTCGACGTTTAATCTGATTTCGATTATTATCGAATATCTTTTATTTTCTTCCTTCGAACGATCTCTTTGATTTCAAGCAGAAATAATATTCAAACTTTTTAAATTAATCGTATCTTTGGACAACTCAGAGAAAAAAAGAGAAAGAGAAATATAGAGATAGATGGAATATAGAGGAATATAGAGAGACAAAGAGAGAGAGAGAGAGAGAGAGAGAAAGAGAGAGAGAGAGAAAGAAAGAGAGAGCGAGCTTTTCTATCAGATCAAAAGCAATATAATATCAATAAGTAAAAAAATTCAACGCTACTCAAAATTGTTCGAGAACAAGTACGTAGCTATTAATATTATATATTCATTTATCGAGAAATGGAAAAGAGTTAGCTTTCATCATTGATCCTTTCTCTGTTAATTAATGAAAAGTAAAAAAGGTAAAATCAAGCGGCCGTAAAGTACCATCTTCACCTGTTAGATAATCATACCCATGTAATGTAATTTAAGTATTTCATAGAAATTCTAATGATTAGTTATTATATCTTTTCAAAGATTTTTCAAGTCGTTATTCGACTATAGTTTGAAATCTTATAATTTACGTTAGAGTGGATTAACATTGAAAGAGAAAAATTGTTGCTAATGAGAAGAGGATAGATGATATACGTACCGGGTTCGGCAAAAGTAATAATCTCCGATGTTCTTGCGTAAAAATCATCCATCTCCTCCTGAGGTTCGTGCCCCGGTCTAGTATCGTAATCACCGTATCCCTGATAGGGCGTGGTGGTCCTTGAATTACCATCCGTTGTCGTCTCCTCGTTTTGCTGATCAAGATTCTTGTACGAGTATTCGTCGCCACCATAAAGAAATTCACCTGAATATTCGGCCCCGTGATCGTTACGCGTCCTCTCTGGATACTGCGGCGATGCTTGAGCTTCAGCTCGGTATAGAGTCTCCAAAGCGAGATGTCTCGGAACAGCAGCCAAGGTTCTGTTCACGTCAGGCCGTGTTCTTAAGCCCAATTTCGTTAATATCTGATGTTTGATGGCTTCCAATCTGAGGTCGTCAGGACTCGGCGCAGTTCCATGCTTGCTCCCACCTCGATGGATTTCATGAAGGTGCTGATGTTGCTGCTGCTGATGAGGACAGCCGGGACAAGTCTGATGATGATTCTGTCTCGGTTGGACGGGTGGTAAAGTCAGGTAACAGAGAAACAGTCCAATAAGAAGCAAATTGGAAGGTATCAGGAGTCCGCCTCCATATCTGGAGAACAGTTTAGGCGATCGCACGTGTAGGCGTCGTGTACTTTCGTCTCTTCTTTCGGTATATTCGAAAACTCGACTCGATCGTTCGCAGATGTCGGCGTTGTCACCTTTGTCTCGTTGACGAGGCTGGCAACGAGATTGTTGTTGCTGCTGCTGCTGATGTTGGTGTTCTTGTTGATACCGTTGTCGTTGATGGTGCCATTGCCGGCAATATTGGCTCTCCTCTCCGAACTTGGCGATTCGACCTTCGTTCGAGGTGAGTCCCACTCCGTACGGCACCTGGTGCATTTCGGCGGCGAGTCACCTCCTCCTCCCCCACCACCTCCTCCACTTTCCTCTCTTTTCCTCTCCCTCTCGAACGGCCGATCCAAGGAGCACCCTATCTCCTTCCTTCTTTTTTCTCTCCGAGGCAAAGATTCTATGACTACGAATTGTCTCGCTTCCCCTACTATCGCTACTATCGATGCTACTGATTCTCTTTCTCTCCGTTTTAGCAGTCTTCTTTTCCTCGCTGCTACGAAAAAGAAGGACGAAGACCGTAAGGAGAAAGGATCCAAAAAGGTGCCTATCCGCGGTGAGTGCTTTCCTTGGGTTAGACAGCTGCAAGGTGAGGCTGCGATGATGACGGCGACGACGACAAAAACACGGACGCAACGATAATGCGACAACAGTGTGTAACGACGGTGACGACGACGACGATGACGATGACGACGACGAGAAGAAGGCATCCTCGCCTAAACCCCCCATTACCAACGATCCGGTGCCGGTGCTTTGGGATCGATCTGACCGTCACGTTGGACCGCCGTAATCGGGTACACCCTGCTCGTTTTCTCGGCCATTCGCGCTCCCTTCAAATACACGCAAGGCACACGCACGATCGAGCTTCGCGATCCCACCTCTTTACGATTCGCCGACTCTCCGTCAATCTGCTGAGTATCGATCTTGATCTTTTTCAATTTTCTTATTCTATTTTCTCTTTCTTAAAGAATCGGAATAATCTTACTCTTTCAAGTCAAGGACACTTGTCGTTCTTCGCATATCGTTTTTTGACTGATCCTGATTGATTCTGTCTGTTTCTTTTTCTCTCCCTCTCTTTCCTCCCCCTTTCTCTCTCTCTCTCTCTCTCTATCTATTTATCTATCTATCTCTGTATTTCTCTCTTTATTTATGATACGCGAAAATAAGCAAAAGTCTTACGTTCTAAGGTCTACGCGACTTTCTTGGACACTTTCTATGTGTACCTAATGCTTCACTACGACTAAACCCTTTGGAGGAGTGCACCATTTAAAAGTTTGGCGCGGCCCAACAAGCAAGAATATCTGACGACATCGGCCGACTCAAGATCTCTCGTCTAAAGAAGGCGTCGCGACGATCTATCGCGCCTCTCTTTAGTTCTTATCCCTCGCGATAGCACATCGTCCTCGTCGTCGTCGTCGTCGTCGTCGTCGTCGTCGTCGTTGTCGTTATTATCCGTCGTAGCGCGTCCCTTTGAAAAATTTTCGATGAGCTGACAAGGATCTCTAATATGCTCTCGAACGATAAATCCAATCGCATCGCCTTTTTCCTTTATATAAAAATTAAGGAAAAAGAAACGTTCGCTCTTGATGTTATTGCTGTTGTTTTTCTTTTCTCTGCTGATATTAGCGTTGGTATTGCCGTTTCGTCGAGAATGGTTTTCGAAAAATTTCGAAAATCCGTATAAACATTTGAGTGACTCCAGTCGTCCTGAGATATTTACTAAAGATTCTTTATCCTTCCCGATTTTCGTCGCTTACGACCTTTTCCGACTTCGGTCCACTTGATTTCGCGAGGACACGGATAGACTAGCATCGACGAAGGAGGACGAAACGCCGCAGGATCTCCGTAACGAGCGAAGCACGCTTGTCGGAGGCGCGCCGGACACTGAGGGGCATCCACCACCACTACCAACACACACAAGAACACCACTACCGTTCTACGATCAGCGCTACTAACAGTAGTGGCAGCAGCACCGGCACCGGCATCACCACCGCCACCACTATCACCACCCACCAACGAGACACTATCTACCCATCCACCCACCTACCCACGACGATATAGCTACTCTACGACGCTCAGCTAAACTCTTCATAAACTCTTTATATAGGTGTTTTCCCATATAACGCGATGGTATACCGTTCAAGATGCGCTAATACATTTAAACCTTCACTCATCTATATGCCATGGAATTTCTGCGAACATAGAAATATAGTTGTGTAACATAGCCATCGGATGGTGATCTGTTCAGATCTTGAGATAGATAGATAGATAGATAAATAGAAATAGATAAAACCAAAGCCTTTTTCTTCTTTCCACCGGCACTACCTCCGCTATATAACGACCAACAGCAGAAATCCTGCCGCCGACATCGGCGCCACCCCGGCATGAAAAGGGGAGGGCGAGAGAAGATCCAACTACCAAACACGTGCTTCACGCGTGGTACTCTGATTCCGACTAATCATTATTTTCCTCTTCGTCCTCTACGTTTTTTTTCGAACTCCTCCAATTGAACAAAAAGCAAATTTTCAAGAAATTAAGATTCAAAGAAAAGATCTTATCTTTTCGCCGAACCTTTTCATTTCCTTTCGTAATGGAAACGTTTCGACGTCGTCGCTGATGTTCTCGGCGTCGGTTTTCAGGATGGTGGTTAACGTGTAAAACGAGCGTAGAACGTAGAAAGAGATAAAAAGAATAGGAAGAAGAAAGAAAGAGAAGCGAGTTAGCTGTAAGCATATTGATCAGGAGACAGTAGTTGGCCGCATGCCACGTGGTGATGCTGAGGCGCCGGTCTCTCCTCCTATTATGAGCCAAGACTCCTATCTTCGTCTTTTCCTTTCCCTAGGACTTTCTTATTCCTTCCGTAATAGTACTTTCCAGAGGATTCAGTCTCCTCTCTCTCTCTCTCTCTCTTCCTCTCCTTGTCATTCTCTTATTTCTATTTTATTAATCTATCCTTTCTCTTTTTTTCCAACCTCTCCTGTGTTTCTTTATGAGAGAGAGAGAAAGAGAAAGAGAAAGAGAAAGAGAAAGAGAAAGAGAGAGAGAGAGAGAGAGAGAGAAAGAGAAAGAGAGAGAGAAAGAGAAAGAGAGAGAGAGAGAGAGAGAGAAGTAACGTAATATGTAGTACGCAAAAATGCGTTTCTCCATGATACGTAGACCTATATCAACGTATATAATCCTTTTCTATCTCTCACGTTTTCTCATTCTGGATAATTTTGCATCTTTTGCTTGCATTGATTCGATTCAACTGAACCTGCGTGCTCGAAAGCGTTTAAATTGAGACGTCAAGTTAACAAGCTCACCCCGCGTCGCCGAGGTGCAAAAGACTCCTCTCTTTCCTTCTCTCTCTCTCCTTTCTTCCTCTCTCATCTTATATGTTCATCATAGGTAGCGGCAACCTTGAAGGCAAAAGGTACGAAAAAAAAGCAAAGAAGACCACGTTAAAAGCGGTCGACTTCAGAAAGAAAGGGAACCGCCTTCTTGGGTGGCTACCGGTTCCTTCCTCAATCCTTTACCGCTACATTGCATTTCACTTATCTTTCTTCTTCTTTCTTTACTTTTTTCCTTCTTTTTTTTTCTTTCAATTTCGCCTTTTCCCTCGAGAAATCACGTCGATACTTTAGAAACCTTCTCATTGGATCATGTTCATTCTAGTAGGACAATTCCAATCATAATAACGATACCTCGTCTTATGTTCAAACGGATTTCCTTTATATTTGCAATCGGTAAAAAGATCACTTTCACAAAACGTCAATCTGAGATTATTCCATTACCTTTTGAACAAAGATTATCTTTTTAGCAAGAAAAACACTTGGAATTTTTATCATAGCAAGATATCATAACGTCAATTGATTTTTTAGCGAAACTTCTCCTTCTTTTACGACAGCCACTCTCTCTGTTTTACCCTCAATCGACAAGCTCGGTACTTTCTTACTTGGGACGATTAATATTAAGAATTAACATGGTCGGCGTTGTCGTTATTTGTCGGTTAATTTGTTATAATTTTGTTGTTGTTTTTTTTGAGATCATTTTATCATACTAACGTCAGAAACGAATTTCGCTAATTCGAAATCAACTTGGGAAGATTTTTTGTCTTTAGAACACTGTCAATTCAATTCTTAGAAAAAGATAGACATTTAAAGGTCAGTTCTTAAGCAACAAATTGTTATTTTGTCAGTAGTCACGGTTGAGTTCGAGTAGGTATCAGCTCTAGTAGCGTGACTTTTTTTAGAACGTCAAAGATGTGACAAAGATAAACGAAAAAGAAAGAGATAAAATATAAAAAATAACGAATAAAGAAAGAACGGAGAATGTGACGCACGACACGCGTCTACCCATGCAAATTAGATTGATCTATCATTGTCTTGTCTGGCTGTCGTCTCGACCGTTGATTACCAACGAGGCGAATATCATCTTCCTAGAATTCTAGGGTATCACTGGTTTCATTTGCTCTCTTGTCATTTATTCTTGTATTTCACAGACGATCAGGCATATTTAGCAATTAAGAAAAATCACGAAAGACTTTGGCAATCCATAATTTTCGTCATTATTTTTTCCATACGATTACGAAAAGGTTAGAACCGAAAAGGTTAGGTAAAGAGTTCCTGAAAGAGCTCTTTAAGATTTGAAAATAAAAAACTGGTTGTTCCAACGAGGAAACCTTCAATTACTTATAAAAAGGAATAATCAAACTGTTATATCGTTGGTCACGTATTTATTGAGAAAACGAAATCTGGAGAAACCAGGAGAGAAAATGAAATTAGGAAAGTCCAAGACCCCACAAAGTTTGACGACATCCGACTGGAAATGGAATAGACGTGATAACGGAGGAGAGAAAGAAGAAAAAGAGAAAAGAAAGAAGAAAAGAAGAAAAGAAAGAAAGAGAGAGAGAAAGAAAGAAAGAAAGATGGAACGAGTTAGCTTCGCCTTCGCGGTAGGTTTGATTGAATGCGGATGTGCGTGCAGCCAGTGGTGCCGTTGGTCGACAGCCACGAATCGGGGGAAAATTATAGGTAGTCCTCTTTCGTACGTCGGGTAGTTCGATGTTATCTACCTTCTTCTTCCGGGAATTTCGCAGTATAAATAGGAACGTCGGTGGTCGTCGGGAGCAAGTAAGTACTCGCGAACACTTGCGACTACTTGCGACTTACTCGCACGTTCACTTGCACTTCGGCACGTTAAACCGAATATTCGGCAACCGACCTTCGTATAGCTCTTCAACGAATATATATATGTATATGTATATATATTGAACGTAAGCATTTTGTCACGAAATGCTGACGTGGTAGTGTGACCATCCCCAATCTCAGAACGCAACGATGTCCGATGTTTTTTCTTTCCACGAGACACCATCCTTTTATATAGTGTTTCGTATTATTTTTCAAGATAATTGGACATTGTAAAAATAAACCTTTTTCTCATTGTATCCGATTTTCTCATAGATAAAAATTCCGAAATTTGAAGGAAATTAGGAGAAATGAATTCATAAATCCAGATAAGATCTTTCTTAGATTGATTGGTATGTATATTCGATCAGGATTTCAATGTCATCAAACATCATCGCAGACTGTCCATCCATTGAGTGATACCGGCTCACCAGGACAATGGGGCGGTCTAGGCGTTCGATAAATCGTGACATATCCGTGAGATAACACCATCCCTTTCCACGTTGTTCCCCTTAGCCCTTTAATCTCGGTATAACACGGTCGAAAGAGGACAAAGGAGGTGAAGGAAGAGGCGAAGAAGAGGAGGTGGTGTCACAGAGAAGGAGGAGGAGAGGAGTTGGCTTGGCTACTTTATACTCGAAGGCTACCTGTCTGCTTGAAAGGGGAGGTATTACGGGGTTACTAAAGTATTGTATGGCCTCCCCAAGCCCCATAAGGATAGCCCTCAGGCACGCACCCCTATTATCGTATGCGTATGCAGTTTTTTCGCTGGTGCGTGCGCGGGGGCGCAGCCCTTATATGTGCAGTGAAGGTGAAGGGGGCATCGGGTAACACGGGCAGGCAGCCACCCAAACGACCGAAACCTGAATGCTCAGCCGGGAAGCGACTTCTTGCCGTGCTAAAGGTGTGCTCGATGCTTACCTCTTCTCCTTCTCATTCTTATTCTTCTTCTTCTTCATCTTCTTCCTCTTTTTCCTCTTATTTCTCATCCTTACTTGCCGTCCAACGTACGAAAACAGGTGATATCGATGTCAACTAGTCGGAATATTTAGAATATTATTGTTTCCTATTAGTTATATTTTCTTTCACTTTTGAAGTACTTCAACGATGATATGACTTTGAGATAGGTAGATAGATAACTGCATTTCTCAGTACTAAAAATAGCTTTAAAGCTATTCAAATCGATAGTCGAACATTTTAATTTGAAAAGCTGAGTGTGTCCAAATTTCATCTTTTTTATACACTTTTTTCTACGTTAGTCAGATAACAATGTTTCAAGAAAGAGGAATATCTTTTCGTATCGTAAACAAGTCAACTCTCTCTGCTTTTTAGTGGCTGTTTTTATTCTTCATCTTTCTTTCTTCTTTCTTTGGCTCCTTAGAGCTCGTGAAACGTCGATATTCCCCCACGTTGTGAATACCGATACTTCATCATCGTACGGCTCCTCGAACGAGAGGGTCTCCCTTCAGCAACTGGAGTATTATACCGATTGTCACATTGCTTTCTTTGCGAACTAGAAGAGTCATGGTAATGATAAGCCTGCGCGCGCGTATATAAAGAGAAAAAAGAGAGAAAGAGAGAAAATGAAAGAGCATGAATCAACCTACGCAACATAGTCTCGCACGATACTAGAAGGTTTATATAAATATATTTATATGCATTTGTATAATAATGTAAAAACAAATTAGATCTCATTAGTGT